TTTAAAATTGTGAATCACTCTGCTGTCCACCTGAAATTTACATAATTTTGTACATCAGCTAGACATCAATTGTTTAAAAGGATAAAAGCTAAAAAGAAAAAAGAAAAAGAAACAATACGTGGGAATTCCACTTTGCGATGTTCTTCTCTTAAGAGAACGAACTAACATAATATCAAGTTAAATACTTCAGATTTTTGGCTTCTCTGGAAAAATAAGATGATCCTGGCAGCACTGGGCCAAGGATTCCTTCTTGGCAGCAAAAAGATTCCTCACCAGGTTCTCTGAGTTCCCATCACTTCATGTTGCTATCCCATACCTGGCGGTTTACACTGTCTTTCTGAGAGTTAAGAGAAGAGTGAACTATTTCTTCTAACCAAGGCTCTTTCAAAATTGGGAAACCAAAGATGAATCAGGAAGAGCATTCCTCTGTATTTGATATGCAAATACGCCACTGTTGCAAACTAGAAATTATGATGCTGTTCCAGCTTCACTCATGATGGTATCTACCTGGCTCCTGTAGGCATTGGAGTCTGCAGTGACTCCTGTAAATAAAGTCATAGCGGGATACAATCAAATATAGGAGAGCTGACAAAAGTAGTGTGATAAGCAACATTAATTTTTAGACCACATCATAGTGTTACTTTTGCTAACAGAATAATCTTATCGAATCTCCAGTAATTAGTAGATGCCCTCAAAGTGCCGCCTAACTCAACAGCCACTGAGAACAATCTAATGAATGCACACAGCAGTTCCTCAGTGGCTGGAAATTGTCATTTAATTACTCGAGTGCCTAACTCCTTTGCAGCTATATACATGTGGAAGATGGGTCCAAGGAAAATGGGTGAAGGATCTTTAGTGTCCGAGGAGAGGAAGAATAAGAAAATGATAGCACAGGGAACTATATTCAACATCTTGCAGTAACCTATAATGAAAAAGAATATGAAAAGGAATATACGTATGTGTATGTATAACTGAAACATTATGCTGCACACCAGAAATTCACACATTATACTTCAATTTAAAACAAAACAAAACAAAACAAAAGAAAGAAAATGAAAGCTCTTGGCAGGTCTAACTTGCCTCACTGTTACCCAGAAAGAAATGCAATGGCTATTTCTTGTAGAAGATCATGATAAAATACACATAATCCAGCCCTTAGGAGTGTGATAGGTTGAAATCAACATTTTGGAGGAACTCAGGAAGTAAATGGGTGGCCCGTGTGGACCAGTACGTTGATACAATCTGGTATTTCCTTACAGCGTTTTGGTCTTCTACCTCCGGTTTGAGTTAGCGCTCGCATTAAGCAGAGATGGCAGGGGTGGGAGAGCTGTCGAATATGAAGCCTCAGGGTCTTGAACTGTATGTTGAGAGAAATCCCGAAATAAAATGAGAGTGAGGTTTGGGAAATGAAAATTGTCATCACACATTGAGGGCAAAAATAATCTGAAGGCCGAGTGCTCAGTGAGTCAGAACCATTTCGGGAGTTGTAATGTTAGAGGCTGTGAACTGGAAACCAGATATGAGTTCACAATCTGCGAGGCTATCAGTCAGGGAGGGAGGTCGGTCAACAGCGTCAGTGTCACTTTGGGAGGCTGAAGGGAGGCTATCATGGACCAGGGAGCCTGAACGTCTCATGTTCTAGGCATGAGATTTAAGATACAAAAAAACAGCAATAGTGTGGTCAAGGGTGACAACAATGATTAAAAGCTGAGGCAGATTGCAATAAGAAGAAAATTTAAAAGAGAGAAAGCTCTGGCAGTGATTGCATGACAAAAACAATGAGATTTTAAAGGCATTTATTTACTTTAAACGTTATGAACAAGTGATTCATCAGCACCTTACCATTGGTATATAGATACAATAAATTGGCATAAGCACCATGGAGTCTTCCAGAAAGAGCATTTTATTAACATCTTGCCTATCTCTTATTATCCTGCTCTGAAAATTCCTCTGAAGGAACCATTAGACAGTATTTGCTGAGGAACGCCTGTGATATTTTGGCTCTTTTTCTAACTCTAACTTCTATGAATTTTATGATGCCACGAAAACACTTCAGCAAGAATTCTGGCAAAATATTTACAATTTCTTCAATAACATTGCTCGTGGAATAGGAGAAATGGAAAGCAGTCTCTTAGTAACTGCAGGAAAACCGGCAGGAAAGAGGAGAAACAGTTGCTTACTCTGCTGTTTGTGATGAAAAAGTCCGAGTTGAGCTACAAAAAGCCCACTGGGGGCTGAGCAACGCACCTGTCAGAGCAACATCCCGTCACGATGGAGGAGGAATGGTACCCACAACCTGGCTGTGAGATGAAGTACAGCTGTAACATCTGCAGGCATGTGACCAGAGGCTTGTGGGAGACGAGCACTTAGGGGGATAGAAAGGAACCTGGCACAGGCCTTGGGCTTCTGGCATCATTAGCTACCGGTCTGCCAAGATGCTTTGGGAACATTTTAATTTAAATGCCAAGTCTATTTCAATGAAGTCTCCCCGGTTTGACCCATTGGGAGGCCAGAGTGAGATGGATAGGTGCTCATTTTGGAGAGCATTAGGCAAATTAGATGGTGGTTTTATAAAAAGCATCCTGGAGGTTTAAATCTGTGTGTTCCCACTCACCCTAGGAAACTCAGGTTACAAGGATATATGACTCCCATAGCATTTTACTAGTGATGGTAAATGCAGGAAAAGGCAGAAATATCTCCAGGCATTTATTCAAAATATCAGAATTAGAGGACTTGAAGAATAAAGGTCCATCGTTCTCCCTTTCCTCACCACAGTGTACTCACCGGCTACTATGACTGTAAATTCGGTAAGGCAGGTTAAGAACCTGATTTGAATTATATGAATATATTTTCCTACAAAACTATCTCAAGAGAGAAAAAAGTTGAACCAAACTAGAGGGGGAAAAATAAAAGAAAAAGGATGGAACTGAATAAAATATTAAAACATTGTTGTCCATCGATGCGAAAATTTGTTAGCCTGAAGGCCCAGGTTGGCAAGAGCTGGATCAAAGCTTGTCTGATGGGTTACAAAAACAGGAATCCAGAAGATCAGAAGAATTAAAACGCCCCCAAGAATAACATGAAGGTATTTGAAGTTGCTTCAGGGGCCAGGGCGGGTATGCATATGTATGTAAAGCTCGTTTCCTCAGAGGTTACTTGGCAGTTTGCGACGACATCATGCTAATGAAAACAATGTCTTTAAGCTCACCCCCAGCGGACTATCAGTTTCGCGCCCCTGCGGGAAGCGCATTCCCGGAAAAGGAAATACACTAGCTGGAGAAGGGCCGGAGGCTGGAGTCGGGGAGCCTGGGATGGAGAGGTGGGTGGGGCCAGGCTGGGTGCGGCCGTGGGTACCACGCTGCGGAGTTTGGGCCCTGTATGGCTCCAAGGATTCAAGGGAAGTGTTCGCGCGGGGAAGCAATGAGCTCAGGGTTGATTTTTAGGCTGCTCACTCTATCTGAAGCACTGGGGGAGGGGAAGGAGGGAGGACCAGAGAGAGGAGGCACCGGCTGTTGTGACCCACGGTGGATACTTTCCCCAAGATGAGCCTGACCCAGGGCTGGGTCCGCAGAGGGTTGGACCAGCTGGCATCTCTGGCGGCGGGATCAGGAAGGACACTGGGAGGGAGGGACGACGATGGTGAAGATAAATCCCTGGAGGACGACTAAAAGGTCACAGAGCAGGCTCTGCCCAGGTCCTCTGCTTCTCACCTCTCCCCCCTCCCCCACCCCAGCATCCTTGCAACCAGTTGAATCAATTCACAGATTCACAGTTCAGGAGCCCAAAGGGGCGGAATTGGTTTCTGTATGAGAAGTGGGTCTGACCCACTGGGGAAGCC